TTTGTTGGGGTTGTTTTACTTTTTGGGGGCCCTGGGAACGGTGGTGGGGGTTTTTATTATGCGGTTGATGCGTTTGGGTCGTAAAATGTAAAAATAAAAAAAAAAAATTTTTTTTAAAAAAAAAAAAAAAAAAAAAAAAAAAAAAAAAAAAAAAAGAGCTCATCGTAACTCGCGGGGCTTCTGTACGGTCCAAGAATAGCCCATAATGGACCTCACATGTGATTGTGGCACAAGTTTTGGTAAAACTACCTACCTAGGTAGTTCCTGCCCATACATTCAACTGTGATGCATGCAGCGCGCATCAGAGCACATCCTTGTTTATTCGCGCCTCAGACTACTGTACATTACTTCCTAAGCGTCTAACTCGGTGGTGACGCGATTGTAACGGATGAGGCAAGAGGTTCGGGGGTTTTTATTTTTATTTTTATTTTTTAACACTCTCGAGCTCTTTCGTTTATCGAAACCTGGCAGTTACAATCCCCCACTTGAACACATTGGGTGACCGAGCCGCCCCAGATCAGCGCGTGAAGAAAAACTGTTCTGGGGACCTTTGGGTCCACTAACCGACCTGCCAACATTCACGAAGACACGCTAGGTATCGGGATCCTCCGCCACAACTCTGTCTTGATATCGGCGAGATATTACGCTTCAGATGGCATGTCAGGCTAGTATAGCTCGCCTTGGCATAGCTATATGTAAGTACACTAGGTACATAGTAGACAGACGGTAGGGACAACCTCTGTTGGTAGTTAGTGGCCATCCGTCTCCGGCCGGTAGGCATGTTGGACGGCCGTGGAACGCCGCCGGCAAATGACTAACATCTTGCTTATGAGGGTCAAGCTTTACCGGTAATTATATCTAACCGTACCTAATACGGAGTATATACCAACTGTAATACCTACCAAGAACGACAACCCGCAGACAAAAGCTTGCCCGAGAGTTTCCAACCCACGCCAAGCTGTCAGGGCATTGTCGCTAAAACCACGGGATCAGATCAAGATGCCGCCAGAGAACAATACGAGATGCAGCCCAACCCAATGGAAGCCGAGCTTGACGCCTCTGGACGTTTAATACCAGCTCGCCAGTAATACTGGAGAGATTAAGGTGCATCGCTACTCTAATCCGCTTCAGGCAACGCGAGCTAAGTAAGTAAGGAGCAAGCATCCTCCCAACGCGTGTGGCTCCGTCAGATCTCTGGTAGAGGCGTGGGAGATACCCTGATCCCTGGCCCCTAACAGGATGTTTAACCAAGCCTCTTCTGCCAGTACTCCACCAGTACGTCTCATCTACATATTTACGCAACAGTACCCAGGTATGTAGGTAGTTATAGATGCCTACTACCTTAGGTATGCGATCTAAGACAAGCTTTTGGCAGGGAAGATTTCCGATAGCTACCTATCGAAGGAGGAAAGTTCAGCAGAAGATCATGCTACTGTAGGTATGGAAAGCATTGCCAGAGCACTACCTAGGTACTCATACAAGGACTGTAAAGCAAATCCGGCTGGCACACCCTGTACTAGAATTCTCCTCTTGAATTATCTCTGCCTACCTATGCATTATGCAGGTTGTAGGATGATTACGAAGTAAGTAGTTACGCTACCGGACCTCAAGGACCACATTGCTATCAGCTGGACTAGGGGCGTGTGAATAGTCATAACCCTTCTCCCTTCGTTTCGATTACGCTTCGGCGGGGTTACCCTTTTTGACAGGGCGGTTAGTCCACTTGTTCCAGGATGATGTTTAATGTTAGCTTGATATTTGCCCCCATATTTCTACTGAATTGAGCAAGAAAGGCTCCCGGCGAACCTGTCCGGGCGACCTGCTGCGCTTTGGCAATACCCCGGCCAGGCCCGGCTGCACCCTGGTCACAATCCCCAGTAACACCCCTGCACATTCTTTGTTTTTGGTACTGGGATAACATCATCAAAGATCACTACCTAGATGTTCACAGATGCTAACCAACACGAGGTAGAAACGGACGGGACGGGCAAGGTAGCATTGCTAGCGTATGATAGTTTGCCGAGAGACATGGCTACCCTGTACACCATATGTAGGTAGTCCTGGATCAACAGACATGCTGTCGTGCCTCTAACATGCCTTTAGGTCCTCTCAAGCTTTCCACATCGCCGACTAGATATTTTTTTCAGCAGGTACCCATGCCTCCACAGGTTCCTGACTCGAGGGCGCCTCCAATTGCAATTCGCATAGGTTTGAAATTGCAATGAG